ACTTCTAACTGTCTGGTCGTAATTGGAGCCCAATGGTTTATGTATCCCAGGCACTTGTGAAGACTGAATGTTGGCTTGCTCCAACTGTGAAACAGACTTTAGTCTTGGTCCAGAAGAATTAAGAGTTTTAGGTCTTTATTTATGGAAGGTCATTATTAGCTGAAACGGGTCATAAAGAGTTTATGCTTGCCATTAAAAGGGGCTGGTAAACATTTTGTGACAAGGTTAAAGAGCATTGTTTTCAACCATATTGTCTAGACCATTTGAAAAATGCAGAGAAGGCTACAGCCCAGATTATGTATATGTCAATCTTATAAAATAAACAAAAACAAACTCAAATATCTGTCTAGTTTCAGGCAAAATGTGAACTGCAGTTGCCAGAGCTATGCTGAGATTCAACAAAAAAAGAAGTAAAACATGAACAGTGGGCTGGGACACCTTGTTCTTGGATATTCAGAGCAACCAAGGAGGAGATAGGAGTTCTCAAGTACATCTTTTGTCTTTAGGTACAGGATGATGTACTATACACTTTTTATAGGAAAATATTTTAAAAGTACAAATGTCAGTCCTCTAAGGGTTGAAAACTCAAGAAAAATGTTGCAGGCTGTTGCAAACTATTACTACTAATAATTATTATTCTCTGCTGAGAGTTGTCACATACACCAAAAATTCTGTGAAGGGCTCTGTATTTTTCCTGAGAAAGTTACAGTAATCATTTAGTTTGCTTGTTTACCTTAATTTTATTGGGTTTAAAAAGCCCTGAGCAATACTGAAGAATCCTTCCAAGAATATTACTCTCATTTGCCTCAGGCATCTTCTTAGACTGTCCTAGAAAGTGCTACGGATAAACAGGTGATCATGAACATCAAACCTGATCTCACTAAAGGGAATATTTCTGAATTTATTCTGTCTTACAGTTCACTGGATGGTTTTAAACTGTTTGGGTTTTGGTATGTACCTGCTAGATCTTCATATTCCTTATCTAAAGGGACAAGTAACGAGTTTTCAAAGTAATAAAGTGAAGTCAGATCCTAGTCCATGTTTAGAGTTGTTGCATTTCAGAGTGGATCCAGTGATACCAAGGCTTTCCACTGGTAATTTCTATCCTAAAAGAAGTTGGCTGTTGGAAACTGGTACCGAAGTGACCATAGACCTGTAAAGAGAGAACAGGTGGTATGGTTTAACCCCAGCTGAAACCAGGACAAAGATGCAGAGTTAGAGTAAACCAAGGACTTTAGGTATTTATTCCATGTGCTTGGGCACTGCGAGACCACCTAGTACAGCACTGCAGTGGGGCTCAGCACGCTGCTCTTTGGATGCCATGGTATCAGCAGTGTGCTCTGCCCAAAGGAACATGTGCCTCAGACAGACAGGTGACATCCCTGTACAGGAGAAAGGAAGGGGTGCTCTATTGGCTCTGTTTTACTTGGATATCTCATGCAGGTGGGAACTGTACTACACTGAGGCAGCTGAGCCCCAAGAGATGGCAGCACAACAGGAACTGTTAGATTTTCTCCTTCCTAAAACTTGTACTGTGAGCTGCAGATCAACATACCACAACATCTCAGGGACCCTACATTCCCAGTACATTTTAATTAGCACTACTGATGCCTTTACAATTACATACTATGTTAATTTTCACTGTTAATTCTAGCTTGTGTTATGTTTGGCTAGGAAAGGAAAATATATGTCGGGCTGTGCTTTTGAGCTTCTGGCCTGAGCCATCTGGAACACGTTATTGCATCATTCATGTTATGAGATAGCAATCGTAATTCAGACAGTGAACGAACCAGACCTCAGCTGATAATCTACAGTAGTCTTTGACAAATTTTAGGGAACCTTCCCCAAACACCAGGAGTTTGCAACTGAGATTCTTTCCTGGTAGGTGGAAGAAAGGACCCTTTCTCAGGTGGAATTAGGGCTTGAGACCATGTTTCCTATGTGCTTGGTGCTATTCATGGGACAGTAGGGTGAGATGTGAGTATGTCAAATCACTGTAACATCAACATGTGACAGTATCAAAAGCTTGCTTACTTGGCAGTCTCCAAGAACACTTAGATTAATCTCCACAGTCAGGCAAAAGCTCAACTTGCGAATCTCGTGGACTTATATGCATCAAAACACAGTTGTTTCTGCAAGTACCCAGCAGTTTTGCTCTGAGTATTTTACTATTTTTGCTGGTAAAAACAGTTGGTTCCGTAAGATTTGGTAGGAGCAAAAGTGAATGTTTTTAGCATCTAAAGCTTGGACATGTAGGGCCTAAAGTGTCAGTTATTGGAAAATTCTTTTAATGAAATTAGGTGTGTGTGGCAGGGTAAACGATGTCTATGACTTGGCATGTAGAATGACTTCGGGCTCACAGATCTACCACCATACAGACTTGTATGGTTTGACTCCTCTCACAGTTCAAAAATTTTCTTGAAAATGTTCAGAATAGGAGAATTTTTAAAAATTACAAGAACATCCAGGAAGTGTGTTTGACAGATGTGGTTCAGGAGAATTGTAAGAACAAAATCAGAGTTAAAAAAGATGAAATGTGAAACTTAGAGGATGAAGACTTATTTCTGCAAGGAAGATTTTCTGTTCAGGATGCTGAGTGTAATTAACTATTCTTAAGTATCCTGACCTATTTACAGCTTTTGTCTTAGCATTTAGAATTTGTCAGATTATGTTCTCCGGTGCTGAGGGCTCCTGTTCATCCAATGCTGTGCTTTATCTGCAGGAGCATGGTTCAATTCATGTGTGCAGCTGTTTCATCCAAAGAGAGTAAAGTTATACAACACACTTTACATCCCTCTTATTATATATTACACAGTTTTCAAAACCCAAGTCTTAATTGTTTTAATAAGTCTTGAGTTTCTCAAGCAAACTTTGAGAACACAGTTATTTAACAAAGTCCCATTTTATACTGGGGACAGTTCTGCACCTCCTCATGAAGACAAAGGCAGTGTTAAACTAATCTAAATAAAGTACTGGATTTTATAACACGGAGGGATATTTGAGACAATTGAAGTGAGAGCACCACTACACATGAAGTTTAGCCACCACCTTAAGCATAAATGCTGAAGGTGTCACCACAGGGTGTTGAAAGATGCATTGAATTGCCCATTTTTATAGGGTGAACAAAAGGGGGTTTATGCACGACAAAATCCTTTCTTTATGCAGCTCTTCATACCAAACTGAGTTGTGAAAAGGCTGTGGCTGCATCTCATTGTTTTGTGACTGATGATAGTTACAGAAAGGTACTGCAGAAATTCCACTTAGCCACAACATCAAATCCTTTTATTTTGGAAAAAAAACAGTCACCATGCTGTAAACTAGCCCAGGTTGTGGTTTGGTACACTTTTTCTTCTCTGGTTTTTATCCACTCCAGCTGTCAGATGGAGACAGGAAAAACCAAAACATTTGTACAGTATTTCTTCTTAAGGGAGCCCCTTAGGTGATGAGATCTGGATTCACCTCCTGTCTCCAGGGCTGGAGCACCTCTGCCAGTTGGCTGATGGATCAGAACTCTGAGGCAATTATTTGGGAGCAGACTGGTGTTGCACTCATACAGTGGTTCTGGCATGCGTGCAATGATTTTACCATGTGATTGTAGAAAAATTCAGTGGATTAGCAAGTGAAGTATCATCAGATGAAGCAAGCTCTTCATCCACACAGCTGGATTCACAGAGCATTTGCTCTCCTGTAAAGCTGTTTCTTGTTGTTTCAGTAGATTTTCACACTTCTAACATACAGTAAGCACTACTACTCTTACATCTGTTAGCTCTCCAGGTTACTGAGTGTATTGAGAAACTCTGGTGGTATAGAGCAGTGAGAATACTCATTGTTAAACATTCACCATAATGAAAATTTTCCTGGTCTTTGCTTTCTATCCTCTCTTGCCTGCTTTCTGACCCATGACAGAACTCCTTCACAACATGCCCAGCAGCTTCAGAAGCCACTTGTGGGAATTTTTGTTAGGCTTTTGGGAACTTTATTTAAAGTAAGTAAATTGGTTCTTGTTTATCTGCAAATGTGTAGCTACTGAATGGTTCCAGGTGAGTGTTTAATTTTCCATGCAGTGCAAGTGATGCAAGCAAGTCACTGAGAGACAAACTCAGAAATGGCCCAGAGCCTCTGATGCTGTCATTTTTGAAAGATAATTTGGACAATTATAGCCAGTTAACAAGATACAGAGCTCTTGAGCTTCCCATTGGCCCCAATACAACCTGTGGGGGCTCAGGACCCCCGAAGCAGCTCAATCTTTGTATCTGAAGCTGGATGTTGATGCTTAGAGGCTAATTTTATTATTATCTGTTATATCAACTGTACTTCTGTTTCTCAATCTGGTACACAGAGATGTATGATAATAATTTCAGGTTGTGTAGAAATAAAGGGTTTTCTCAAATGGGACACTCAACAGAAATTCAAACTAGCTGTTTAATGCCCCTGTCTGTGTTTAATTTCAGTGTTCATCTTTGGATCTACTATAATCTTTGCTGCATCTGATTGCTTACCTTTTACATCCCATAAATGTTCTGCTTGACCTACTAAAGCTCTGCCTGTGGCAAAGTTGCAAAACACCTGAAAAAGCACTTTATTTCCTTCCTCTTCAGTCATAACTGGAGATCTGCAAGTTATGCTTTTTCTGAAGAAATATTTCATATCATAAACTGCTCCCTTAAGCATGGGGTCAGTTTAAGAAGGGCCAGTGTTTGCAGACAAACCATTTGTTTTCCTTTGAATGTTTAATTTGTTTATTCCTGTTTTCAAATAATCCCCAAGCAATATAGTTCCTGTAGCTGTGATCATCATGAATTCTAGTTATTCACCTCCCAGAGGGTCAGACCTTTCATCAGTACACCATTGGCACAGAGCAGCGAGTGTTGCATATTCATTGTCCAGGACACCAGCTAGAGGGCCTCCAAAAAAGCCTGACTTTTTTTGTTCTCAGAGCAAGGAAAACAATCCCTTCCCTTCTCCAGTCCCTTGATAAGGGTTTCTGTCCAATAACGGTGCTCTCTGCTCTGAGGCACATTTAACTGTGAAGTTTGCAGCGGGAGAGGCTTTCCTTCAAGCTGTTAGTGTTTTATCCTGGCAGGCTCCTCGAGGTTGTTGTGAGGAGTCTAGCCAGTTGGTGAGCTTTGTAATCTAAACCAGCTGTCCCAGGCTGAGGCCCCCATTTGCATTGTTTAACATACTTAGAAAATGAAGTGTTCATTTTTAACATTCCTCCTCCAATTGGTTTAATGCTGAATTACAGAAGAGAACTAAGCAAAACCAGGTGCTTTCTCTGTATTCTCTCCAGTGTCTGAGGAGGTACAGACGGCTCCTGATCTTCTCCATTACTTGCCATTTCATTCTTTGGACTATAAATGACAGAGGAACTGAAGTGCTAGCAGAGGGTAATGTTTGGAAAACTTTCTAGTTATTCATCAGCACAGACTCTGGGTTTTTTCCACCTTTCCCCATCGGTTTTGGACATGCAAGGATTAAGAAGGTAAGTGGTATGCATGAAACTTCTTTATTTACTGACGGGAAAACTACTTGTGGAAAATAGCTGTGGCAGGGACATGTTATGCCAATCCACTTGCAAAAGCCATTTGCAAAGAGACGGGATCTCAATGGTCAGAGGTGGGGAAAGACGATCTGCCTGTTATTAAAGCTGTGCTGTGTCTGACGAGTTCCTTCTTGATCTGTGCTTTTACTCTGCGCATCTGCGGGAGTGCTGAACTGCAGCAGCAAGGATCCCACTGGCTACAGTGATTGATTGATTGATTGAACTTAATTAGTTACTATTGCAGAAGTTAATTCCTAGTTTAAAATATTTTGCCTGCTGGGCGAGCTACTGTGACCAGCTGCATATAGTGTTGATAGGCTGTGCTGCATGTCTGTTAATAGTTCTTGAGGGGATTTTAGATCTAAAGTAAGGAGTAAATTGGGATCATGGCTGCAGACAGAACACGTATGAGGCAGTAAGGTCACTCCCTCCATTAAGAGGAAATAATATATCATCTCGTAGTAAAGGAAACTAAAGACTGTCTAAAAATGTTTCAGTTTTGTCTGACTGTTTTATGGGGTATTTTGTTATCGTGCACTGTCCTGCAGCGATGTGCAGCATAGCCCAGTTGCTGCATATGTCAGTCTTCTGCTATAACCTGTTGTATTCCCTCCCGGTGCTGTTCTTGCTGCATGCAGAGTATGCAGTCTTTATAGAAGTGCATACTTTTAAATCTCTTCAAAAAGGTTTGAGGAATCAATAAATTAAGTGCAATCCTAAATGGATAAAATTGTAGTTCAAATGCTTTACATTGGACTCTAAGGAAAACTCTGTGCAGAATTTGCCTTTCCTTGTCACTCAAAAGTTGCCAACAAGCACAATCTGTCTCCAAAGCACTATGAACAACCATTTTAGGGTTTATGTTTACTTTTCAGAGCTTGTCCCCGTCTCCTCATTTAAAACAAATTTGTTGTAATGTGTCGGTCATTGTGTGTGGTTTTGTCTGATGCATTTGTAGGTCTTTCTCAGCAGCTCAGTTTGCACTCTGGAAATCAGGGACAGCTCTAAGAGAGAAAATTGGCAGCTCACATGGGTAGGAAAACTAAGGCTATCTAAAATATCCCCTGCTTCCTGTACTGGTTTTGTAGGAATGTATTGTATACAATTGCCATTTAGAATTACAATCCAAGATAAGCAAGGTGTGGGTCTAATGGTACCGGGAAGTTTTATACAAATTAGTAGCAAAACACTGAAATCCAGAGGACCTAGAAAAAAGTAGTTTCTGATTGTGCTTTCATGGTTTTCTATCTCTTAGCAAATATTTGGAGGTGGGAGGTTATTTGACCATAATTTTTATGTTCCATGTAAGGAGCTCCAAAAATAGGTGTAGGGCTCTTTTAGCAAGGGATCCTCTTCTTTCAGTTGCAGTGGAGTGAGACCCAGTAGGGACCACTAGATGTGAAGATGATGTACCTGGGGAAGGCTCCACTGAAGATAACAGCTTCTGGTAGCTGGTGACCTGGCACAGTGTGTCTCCTTCAAGACTAAGTAAAGGGACAGAATCTGGCCCCAAGAAAATGGATTCATCTCAGATAGAGCCTCCTGGGGATGAAATGCGGTTTAGCGGTTGGAGCAGCTGGCTTGGATTCAGGACCTCCTGCGTGACGTGCCTGCAGCCCTGCCAACGCTTCTCACTGTGAGCTCAGGCAGGGCCTTGCTCTGGTTTACCCATCTGTAAAACGTGCACAGTGTGCAAGAAAAGCTTTCATTTTTGCAAAAGAAAGGTGTCAGAGAGGGGCTACACTGCTTTATTGAATATTGCACACTTGTTCATTTAACAGTGCTGCATGGGGTGTCATAAAAATTAGATTAGTCCATAGACATGTACAGTCTGGTTTCAATCCCAGTTACATAAAACCAAAGTACCATCAGAGTCACTGGCTCTGAGACCTGAATCTGGCCCACAGTTATATTACTCCTTCTCCAGAGGCCAAATTCATGTTAACAAACTGCGGAATATACTGAAGTGTCACTAGAAATTAATTGGTCCGTATGTATGTAATTATATGTAATAAGCCTGGATATCAGAAGGTTTTCAGCCTATTTTCTATGCACATTACAGGATACTGACTGCTTTCACACTGGCTGTCTGCCTTTCAAGCCCTGGAAAAGCACAGGTGAGATGCAGAGATGTATGTACTCGTTTGTACTGAAGTGCTATATGGCATGAAACTTAACTGGCTAGCAGGTGGATAGGAAGCTCTGTGGTCTGGAGTTTACATGAAAAGGAAGTTGTGTGGTCTAAGGGTTTAGAGGGGAGAACTTGGAGCCAGCAGAATTCTGGAGTTCAACATGGATTGAGCTTATTGACTCATCCTTGCCAGCTCAGCAAAATATCCCTGTAGAAACCTGGACCTGAATGAAAATCTGATTCTGCCTCTAAACTGAGCACTTCTGGAACAGGAAATAAGAAAAACTATCCCATGAGACCAGAGACTGCTCAGTTCTATTGTGAGAAACATCCATATTTGGAAAATTCATTCATATAAATACACATTTTCTGTGTTTAGCAGGGCCATGTCTTAAGATTGTTTAATCTTGGACAGTGATCCTGAATCACTTACTTTCACTTATGCCCAAACCCATTTCTGTTCAAGACGGTGGATGGAAGTAAAGCAGTCCAGTTCTTGAAATAGCAGAATTATTAGTTCTTTGTGTGCTTGGGCTCCAAGTAACTTTCAATCAGGAAAAACTGTTCCTAAAGGCATGTTGTTTGGATTTCTACTTGGTAGTCCAGATCTATTCGCTGTCCAGAGCTGTGTTTCTAAATATTGTTGCCAAAAGTGTTTGAAATGTAGTTGTTTTTCTTCTCTTACATTGAAAATTTCCTGCATAGGGCATGCTTATTAATATTTTTGTGAATATTGGATCTGTATGGGAAATGCTTTCCGTGCCCCTGGAGAATTTTTGAGATGTCTTTAAGGGTTTGTTTTTATAATTTAAAAATACCATTTACATTATAGTTTTTATAAAAACATCTTGTAACATAAACTGATTTTTGAAGTTGCTTTGAAAAAGCAACTTGAAGCTGAAACGACAGCAATGAGTTCTTTCTGAGACACTGAAACTGGTAATTTTGACAATATTGGAATCTTTTCTAGAAAGTTGTTGAAACCAGTTCTACAGTAGATTCAGTGTTTCTGAATCATTGTTTATTGATCAAAACATAATAATTTTATTTAAAATTATTTAAGCTTTTCCAGCTAACCTAGATACAGTGTATGTATGCAAAAAGGAGAACAAAGATAGAGTACGTGCATTCTTTAAAACATGAGGGTGATTATACATTCTCCCATTTGAATATCTTGGCTTTCCTCAACATGATACTGAAACATCTTGGAATGCCAATATAAATGAAGGCAGAATTCCTCCATACTTGTCTGACACATCTGCAGTGGTTTTGTGTATTCATATGTGCAAGTGGCCGGTGCAGTCCAAACAGTGCCATGTGTTTCACTTCATGTCCTGTCCCTAGGTCCTGCAATGACCCGCTTCCACTCACTCACCCCTCTAACTCTTGGTCTCCCATATAAAACTTACTACTTTTCCAAACATCAATTAAGTACTTTACTCTTCCACTCATTTCTTCCATAAAGTCCAAAAATAAGTGTCCTTATCATTAAGAATCAACAGAAATGGGAAGAATCTTGAACACACTCATCCCTCTGGTTGCTTCAGTGGTTCCTGTTTCCTGGATATCTTTTGCTTACATTCCTTAGTACAACCTATTTATTGGAAGATCCTGTGCTTGTGTCAATTTCTTGTCCCCTTACTAAATAGCTGGAGGCCCAGTCAAAATCTAGGAAGAACAGGAAATCATTTTAACAGGCTTTGAAACCATCATCACTAGGACTTTCATCCATTTAGAAATACTGAAGTCACTGAAGAGGTACTGAAGACTCAAGGCTGCAGCCCTGATAATGACCAGCACCACAGAATAGGAAGGGACAAGGCTTCCATAACCTTGAATGCCTATAACATGTTATCTAAAGATTTATCCTCTAAAAATTACAAGGTTTGGTGGAAAGGAAGAGCTTTATTTTTATTAATCTTGTTATGTTTCAGCTGTGGCTCTGGATCAGTCAATGTCTAACATATTGTGTGCTGAATGGGCTGTCTGGGGAGCTTTAGAGCCTGTGAGAGATGTAGCAAGTAACCTTTGTGATTAACCCCCCTGTTCTCGCAAAAACAAGACCCCAAACTAGAAGACTGTAATTCTGTGCCAACAGCTCATAACACATTGCACACTGGTGACCCCTGGGCAGAGGAGCAGCCTGACACTGCCACCACCTGCGTGTGCCACTCCTCAGCTGGGGGCTGGAACATGTGCTGAAGCCTCAGTTCATGCCTTGCTGACTTTCCTCTGGGGAAGGGACTTTATTTCGACGTTCTGTACCATGCTGAACAATTGTACTAATCATAATAATCCAGATGAACATTTGACTCTGCAAACCTCTCATTTCACAGTCAATGAGTGTCCTTTTTTCTCTCTTTTTAGCAGCAATGCACTAATGGGTTTGACTTGGACCGTACTTCTGGGCAATGCTTAGGTAAGACTTTAATTAAATCAATACATTTAAATTTGGGTTCAGAAATCCTGAATTTATTGAGTTAACATTGTGTTTCTCTTGCTATGTTCTAGTTGAAAAGTTCTTACTGTGTGACAAATGTGTGTGTTTGTATACATGTATATACAAAAATATGTGTATATATAAATATGTGTGTGTCTTTACATAGCATTGATCTTTGACATTGTTGAGATACTAACAGGTTGTCAGGGCTACTCAAACAACAATGGTGCATTTAATAGGAGCTCAGTATAGCTGCCAAAGGATGTTCACCCTCCTTTTCTTTCTCCTTCAAACTCAGGATTTATTGTCTTTGTTGCCTGTCTCTGCCTGCAGGCTCAGATAATCTTCCATTCTCAGCACTGAAACTTCTAGTAAGTTGAGGTAGTGTAAGGAAATCTGTGCTTTGCACAGTAGCATCTTTTTGTCAATGGCATTCAGTCTCCAGGGCAGCATCTTCTACATGCAATAACGTCACCCAAACAAAAAGGGAAAACCCTGCAGCAGATTGTTTGCCCTGCCATAGCCTGCTGTTTCTGTGGCCCAAGAACCAGGGGAATGTTCACTTTGGCTAAACAAGTTGTATCTTTCTAAATTTAATTCAGCAACAATCTCAATTAAAGCAAGAAAGAGAGGCCTCTTTCTTGCTTTGATTGAGACTGTTGCTGAACTGTGTCCCCGGATCTGAGCATCCCTAACTTTTTCTATGGGAGGAAACTCGGAACTTCCAAAGCAGGATCCAAATTTCACAGCTGGGCAGACCAAACCATCAGTTTCTGAAATCCTGATCTGCATGTTGTGGTTTGGACAGACCCTCTAGCAGGAACAGGCAGTAGCATTCTGCAGCCATGTGTGAATCAGCATTTAAACCAAACTTCTATGGAATAGCAAAGCAAGCCTTGTCCTCTCCCTCTGTCCTCTAATAGTGAAATAAAATGCGTAGATCACAAGATATGTTGATTATAAGGGATGTTTCCTGTTTTAGTACAATCTAACTTCAAAGTGAGGCTCCATAAGGAAGGATTAGCCATTGTGATGGAGAATATAATATTTTTTTGCAATGTTTTGCAAAAAACATGTTAATTTTTTTTATGGGTCCCATTGAGGAGCAATGACTCTTTAAACTTTTGCAATTTCATTCCAGATATTGATGAATGTCGGACTATTCCTGAGGCCTGCAGAGGAGACATGGTGTGTGTCAACCAGAATGGTGGCTATTTATGTGTCCCCCGAACAAACCCAGTGTATCGATCTCCATATCTGAGTCCTTATTCCAATGTTTATCCACCGCCCCCAGCACCAGGCCCTGTTCCTAACTACCCTACTGTTACAAGACCTCTGATTTGCAGATTTGGTTTCCAGTTGGATGAAAACAATCAGTGTGCTGGTAAGTAGTAGAAATCTTTCTTCTATATTTTCATTTATATTAAAGTTTGTCTGGCATTGGAGAAACAATTGTCCTGCAGTTTTCCTTCAGTTATTGCAGCAGTCAAGCCCAGTATTTGGAAGTCCAATTTTTTTTAAGGATACGAGATGTGTGTTTCATATCATCATTATTCAATACAAACTAAGATATTATTCAATCCTATTATTTAAGCAGAAAAGCCACTTTCATGAAAGAAGTAATGTTTTAATGTGATAAACAATAGTCTGATGGCAGGTGATCTGTCAGGCTTTTTATGCTTGTGATTCTGTTCCTGAGAGAGAAGGTGGCCCTTCATTTGAAGTGTTAGATGGGGCCTAGGGAAACTTCATTCATTTCTTGGCTTTATGTGAGCTGGTCTTGACAAGAAACCAGAGAAGCCATGAGCTTTCAGCAGAAAATTTTGCATCTCTTTACACTAAGGAACAGCACTTACTTGAAAACTGCTGCAGAAAAACACAAGAGCTAAAGCTGCCTTGTCTTTTGGGCTTATTCTGCCCTATTGTCTAAAATTTCTGGTGGGACTTGGTAGCAGATGATGCACTTTCTTTGTTTTCCTACTGAGGAGACCACAAAAGCTTCATAGGGGCCTTGAAAGTCTGGAGTTAAATTCAGTTGCCTAGGGACACATTTTCTGTATTTGAATCATTGTACTTTCCAAGGTGTGGGAAAAATATATTTTCCAACCAACATCCAAAGTAATACTGACTGGAAAATTTAAAAAATTTTAAAAAGGCATTTTTACTATCTGGTCCTTTGAAAATTGCCTCTAGTCCTTTTCATCTTAGCAAATTGATCAACCTGTTATTTTATCTAATAATTTTTAGATTTCCAGGAGTGGTTTCATTTTGCTCACTTTGCTATAGATTATGCAGGAAATGGGGTAGTTGGTAGAAAAGAAGTGTTGAAATGAAAGTGGAATTGAAACCTCTGAATTATACTGTCTGGTCTGCTCCACACAAATCAGAATAATCAAAACAGGTAGATTTAGGGAACTTTTACAATGAACTTTGCAGCCTCAGCTTGGAAGCACTGAGATTGTTTAAGAGACTTCCAAAGTGAAACAGGACAAAAATTTGATCTGAAAGTTGTGTGAGTTTTAACAAGTTCTTTCTTTTTTTCTACCTCTCCACGAAATGTAGGGAGGCTGCAAGAAGGTTGCTCTGTCCCAGTCTGGCACCTGGCCTGCCTGCCAAGGCCCCACATTCCTTGGCTCTCAAGGGAATGTGCACCCCTGGTTGCTCACATAACATTCCCCCTCATGGGGCTGATATGTTTCAATGCAGAAAAAAACAGAAATATAACCCATTCTTCTCCCTTTTAAGCTTTCTGGCCTCTTCTTTTCTGGCCTGGATGGTCATAAGCAGTGGTTAAGTGTCCACAATCCTTCCCTATCCTGATCACCACTCAGTCTTGCCAAGATTCTTTCCTCTCCAGATCTTGTCATTTGTGAAAACAAAACTTTTCCTGGTTCAAGTGCCTCTCAAAGACACCTGTCAGTGATGGCTTTGCCCTCTCCAGTGTCCTCTGTGTGCTGCAGAAGTACCTGTAGCCATTTGTGGTAGCAGACAGAGAAATATTTTAATGATAATTACTTCTTAAGTTTTCTGTGGGTTTGATTCATGGTATTTTTTACCCCTGGAGTTGCTGGGTGCTTTATATTTTGTATAGTAAGTGGTCAGTGTTTTCAACAGCACAGAGCTTTTGTAAATCATTCCAAAGCAGGTTGGGAATGATTTATAACCACAATTAATGTTGGAATAAAAGACCACATACAGCAAAAAGACCACATACAGAAAAAAGCAAAGAACATCTAGTGCAAGAGTACTGTTTGAACTGTTTATCTTCTAACATTACTTCTCTATAAATACAGAATGGGTTAGTCATAATAATGACTTTTTGCTCAAGGAACTTGGTCTAGTAATTGTTGGCTCCAGTTTACTGGAGTGAGGGCCTGTGTTCTTGCATTATACATTCGTAAGCTGAGAGCTCTTTCCAGTTTCCTTTCACTCCACCTTGCTGTTTCCTGATTTACAATGATCTTCAAAACATGCCTCAAACACAGATCCTTCTGGGCATTGTGGAAAGAATTGTACTGGGTGGGCTCTTATTATTGCTTTCTCTCCAATTAATGCAAACTTACAATGTGAGGAGATGATGGGGTTGGAGTGGGTTGAATAGAGAGATCAGAGAAAGCAGACCTCAAAGACAGAGAGGTAAATGTTAGGAAAAGTAGAAGCATAAGGCAAGATGTGTATGACCTAGAGACAGAGAGAAGGGAGGAGGGAAGAGGAGGTAATTTTAAAAAATCATAATTGTTATTTTTAAAGCAAAAGGTAAAAGGAAGTAGGAAATGGAAGGATGCTGTCTCTAAGTGTAAGAGAGACTTGTTTTTCATGCCCCATTTGTGCAGTAGTCATTGCTTCAGCTTTCCTCATTTCTCAAAGACTGGCAGGACTTCCTACATTCCCCATCTATGGGTCCCCAGCCCTACATTTGTGGAGTGAAACAAAAGATTTCAAAAGATTACCTTTGCACAGATGGGTTTTAGATCACTATCATTTATATTACAAGCATACCTAAACCCCAGATCCAAGCCTGCAATTGTATTGCCCTGCCTTGTGCCCAACCTCATTAAGAGCAGCCTATGTCTAGATGAGTTTTCAAGCAAAATGAAGGAACCAGATGTGCCGGTGTGGAGAAAGGGGAGGGAAATTAAGAGACAGAGAACTGAAAGGAGGTGCCCAGGTCTTGCATCAGGCTCATGGCTGTGCTGGGATAGAGCCCAGAGTTCCTTATCCAATGGTTTAGCCACCAAGCCAGGCTGCCTTCTCCTAATGACTTTCCTAGTGACTTCTCTGGGCATATAGAAACAGGAGGAAGAAAAGTAGGGAAATGCAGCAAGGAGATTATGCCTTAGAAGAGTTTATATAAAGTAAAGACAAATAGCATCCCCTCCTGCCACTGCCTATTTTTAACCCTATTTGGTTCAGCTCTATGTCTTTCCCTTTTCGTCTTGGTCTGTGAGACAATCTCTTTTGCTGCTCCAGAGGGCCAGTTCCTGGAGGCTATGCATGATCCCTGTTAGGGAATGACTGCCATCATGCCCAAATTAACCAGAAAAGATTACATGAGAACAGATTCTGCAAGAGGCTGAGCTCAGACTTCTGGAAGTACAGGTAATTGTTGACAGCTCCTGATTAAATTAAGGGCCATGATATGTAGCTTTTACATGTAGTATGGTTTTCCTGATGGGCTTTCTATGATGAAACATGAATTGAGACCTCCTGCCATAGCAATGGAAAAGTTTCCTCTCAAGAGTTTATAGTTGGTGGTTAAGGCTTGGGTTGGAGGAGTTTGGGTTCAGTTCCTGGCTTTGCCATAAAGTGTGCCATTCCTGGCATTACCATCCCTGGAAATATTTAAGAAACAGCTGGATGTGGCACTCAGTACCATGGGCTAGGGGACAACATAGTCAAAGGTTGGACTCAATGGTCTCAGAGATCTTTTCCAGCCCAAATTATTCTGTGATTCTGTGCTGGGTATTTTGGAGCTCAAGTGAAATTTTATTCATTTTCAGGACTATACTCAGGGTAATTCATAAGGGGATGATAGGTGTGGAGGTGACTTCCAGGCATGTATCATGTAAAGATACACAGACAGGAGGAAAAGGTCCAGTTTAATAATTCTACAGCAGTGAAGCTCAAGGTAAGACATGGTTACTTCAGTTACTTCCCCAGCTGTCCTGGTTCCAGGCAGGACAGGGTTCATTTTTTGCAGTAGCTGGGAGGGGGCACAGCCAGGACCCAGAGATTATTCTCTACCCCCACCATGTCATTGCTGGGGATGGGCAAAGGGACTGTGTCCTCCAGGAAGAAGGCGTTCCTTCCAGCTGAGAAAATTCATCCAGGGTTGTTTATTGTCACAGGCTGCAGTGAGCATTTTTGCATGTGAATCACTCTCTTCTTGTAGTATTAATTGTAACATTAATATTGTTGCTGTTATTGTTCATTTTCTTATCTCATCGCTGTTTCCAGTAAGTAATTCTTGTCTCAACCTGGGGGAGGGGGACCAGCCTGAGGGTTTTTTAGTGGGAGTACTAAATTGGAAAGCACCATTCCTAAGCCACGACATCAGTGCACTAACCTGGCTGGAATTCAGTGGCCACTTTTGTCTATGTTTCTGCATAGATCAGAGAAGAGAGGAAGTCCAAGCCCTTTTCCCATATCTCCAGTTTGCTTCAGGAATATCTGTGCTGCAAAAGTTTTCAGCAGCTATTTGATCCTGGAGTTTTTCCATCATCTTCTACTTATGCTGAATTTTTTTCATGTTTTAGCAAAACTCAATATGGTTTCCTCTTGGTTATTTAATGTAATGAGACTAGACAAACCAGGTAAAATAAACATGTGGAAAATAAAACCTATATACATTAAGGTACAAGACCATATGTCAGGAGAGCAATGAAAAAAGATCATTAACATCTTGGAGTACAGACATACTTAACATAATCCTGTCCCACTGGATAAACCCACATTGTATAGCTCCAGACAAACATAACTATAAATCTTTTAGATCCAGCTTCTGTGCTTCTGATCTGATTGCCTGATCTATTCACAATCTCAACAATCTTTGTAAGGTAATGACGAGCTGACTATAAAATAATCATGAGTTACCAGGTACATCTGCAAACAGTCAGAGCTTCTTCCTCCCTCAGGAAACCATTGCAGCACAGAGGCTGGGCTGGGGCTGAGGAAAGGCAAGACTCATTCAGCCCCTACAGTAGGGTCCATCAGTAGATTCATTCCTACAGAAATTTGACCATCAGTAAAGGTATCCTGTCCTGCTTGCCATGGGGAATGAGAGTTGAAATGCTGTTTTTCACAGAAGTCAATCCATTTGTGGTAGAGAAGTCAGCTTGATAGAAAAAGCTGCTGTACATATCAATCTGTAGTAAGGTAAACTGA